AAAACGGCTGACTACAAAGCTGGTTACGATTACCAGAAGAAGGTATACAGTAAGGACCTTTCCATTGGGGACCTTGTATTGTTGCATGACGACACAGTGCGTCCCAAATTTACCCTCCAATGGAAAGGCCCATTTGTGATTGTCTCCATGTGCCGTCCCAATGTCACCATTAAAAGTCTGTTCAACAATAAGTCACAAACGGTGCATGTGAACAGACTCAAATTGTATTACAGCAGGCCGCAGGAGCGTGAAGTCTCTGTGCAACCACAATCTAGTCACACAGAGGCAGAGACTCCACGTTCTAGTGAGCCTAATCTCAGACGTTCAGAGCGTCTGAGACAAGCAACGGATTGGACTCCCTCGTAATGAGTGACATGTGCCAGTAGCAACCTCACAAAATTTCACTAACGCAGCGGCTACTGGTGCAAAGTAAGTTTGCCGCAAGCATACGCACTATAAAAAGAAAGAATTTTTCGATTGGCGGGTCGAAAAACGCTTTCAAACATTCACTTTTCCTTTACGCCCTTGTGAGCAACGCTAGGAAATTGTTTCCTCTCGAGTTGTGAACTCGAGAACCAAATGTTGTGAAATTTCAATGCATTTATGTTGATATTTGTGAGTAGCGAAAACATAGAATGACACATTCTATCTTTTCGTTCAATATTTCATGTTTTACATCTGATTTTTTACTTTTTGTAATGTTTATACCATTTTATTGCGTGTGATTTCATCCCTCCTCCATATCCCCATGAAAATGATCCTCTTATTCAAATCCGTATTGAATAACTATCCTATTCTGCAACGTAATTCTTATGTCTTCCGCTCGAGGACGAGCTTTACTTTATTGACGGGACGTACGGGAGCGTGCGCTTCGCCTTCTGGCGTTCGCCCTTCTGTTTACCTTGTCTCTTACCGGCTCCTCCTCTATGCAACGAAGACGCAATCCAGCAGATCCAACCCAGCCACCAGCAGATGCAACCCAGCCAATGGAGTTCAATCCCCCACGAAAGCAACAACGAAAAAGATGAATGGTTTCCGAAGATGAATGCCAATCGCAGATGATCAATGCACGAGCAAGCAGCGCCATCAATTGTTCAGCAATCAATCAATAAAGATGACGATGATATGGTAAAACTCGATCAATGATGACAGCCGAACTCGATCAATGGCAATGATGACGATAGCGCGATCGATGATGACGACAATGATGACAGCATGGTTGATGATGGTCAAATGGTCAATGTATCTCCGAGATGATCAAATGCTATGATGAATTCCTTTCCGAAGCCATGGTCAAAGATGAAAGCTCGAGGACGAGCTTTGCTAAGGAATGGACATGTCGAGACGCAGAGTAATTAGATGGTCCGACAGTCTCCACGCCAACTGGGCGGTGCCCAGAATCTCCAGATGAGCTGGCACTCCCCGGGTGCTCGGTGGTCCCCTCCCCAATTATGTCCCCCATTTTTATATATATGCTATAATGATAAAATCATCTAGTCAAGAACTCTTCTGTTAAGATGCAATACAACAGGGTAGAGGGATCAAGTCCCGAGAGTAATTAACTCGTTAGACTTGACAACCCAGCCATTAATGGTATACTCTAAGCTACGCCCCTTGGTTGCTTTAACAGCGGGTACCTAACGATACACCGAGTCTTAGCTGCTAAGACAGCTCACCTGGCTCACTAAAGCGCTGGCGCTTGCGACCCGCAGAAAAAAGTTCGAGGAAATCAAAAACAAATCGCGCGAATGAAATTGCAACGTTTTCCTATTACTTCTTTTTTTTTCATTTTTAGAATAACAGAAATTCGGTGGAAAGTTAAAACGAGGTAAAACAGGCTTTCATGAGCACTTCAAATAGTTTTGCAAAAAGAAATTGTGATGGCGTGATCTAACCGATAACATCAGCTGGAATTCTGACAAAATCAAGTTTGTAGAATTCCAATAAACTAATTTTATGGTTTTAATGAAGCAAAGCGCAATTTCGCAGTTGCCCCTGGCAAATAAGTTGTACGGAATATTTCTTCATTCCAAAAAAGTGCTTCAAATAATTGACAATGAAAAGTGGAAGCGATTGGGAGAACGAGAACGAGAATTTGTCATCAGGAATCGGAACTCAATGGAGAACTATGTGACCCATTGATTTAGGGGAAGGGCACTAGCCCTGTTCTAATCAATGAAAATTTTGCTTTATAGATTTGCCAACTTCGGTTGAGTGTCCAATAGAAAAACAGAAAAAAGCAACAAACTCTACTGAGAGCTTTATTGACAACATCTTTCACTTTTTAGTGAGTTACAAAGAAATTCTTAGCTTTGGTTGGATAAATTGATCTCATTTTGGCTGCTAGAAAAGAGAATGAATATGAAATAATTGCAATATAAAAGTGCTCCAAAAAGCACTACAGAGAATATAGGCATGATAAAATGCAGCTCAAGGACATTTTTATAAGGGACTAGCTGGCTTACCCGGCTCCGCCGTATCCGGACCAAACTTGGCACACATACACTTCGGGCCCCGGCGCGTGTCATAGTCCACTTTTCGTTATCGATCGATGTCGATTTTACCGATTTTTATCGATTTTTTCGCAGAGTTCACCTACAGGGCTAGGAGTTGGCACAGGGGGGAAGTGAGCATGGGGATTCCGAATACAATATTAGTTTTCAGAATTATCGGTTACTTTTATTGATTTTATCGATTTTTTGTAAATTTTGACATGCGATGCTGGGATTTTGCACAGAAGGGTAATCGAGCATGCCGATTACGAACACAATATTAGTTTTCAGGATCGTCCATTACTTTTATCGATTTTATCGATTTTTTCGTAAAGTTTGACCTGCGGGGCTGGGAGTTTGCACAGGGGGGTAATCGAGCATGCAGATTACGAATACAATATTAGTTTTTGGAATTATCCATTACTTCTATCGATTTTATCGATTTTGCAAAATTTGAGCTAGGGGGCTGGAATTTGGCACAGGGGTGTAATCGAGCATGCTGATCACCCCCTTGGGGATGATCAGCATGCTCGATTACCCCCCTGTGCCAACTCCCAGCCCCCTAGCTCAAACTTTGCAAAAAATCGATAAAATCGATAAAAGTAATCGATAATCCCGAAAACCAATATTGTATTCGGAATCCCCATGCTCGATTACCCCCCTGTGCGAACTCCCAGCCCCGTAGCTCAAACTTTGCAAAAAAATCGATAAAATCGATAAAAGTAATCGATAATCCTGAAAACCAATATTGTATTCGGAATCCCCATGCTCGATTACCCCCCTGTGCCAACTCCCAGCCCCGTAGCTCAAACTTTGCAAAAAAATCGATAAAATCGATAAAAGTAATCGATAACCCTGAAAACCAATATTGTATTCGGAATCCCCATGCTCGATTACCCCCCTGTGCCAACTCCCAGCTCCGTAGGCGCACTCAGCAAAAAAATCGATAAAAATCGATAAAATCGATATCGATCGATGACGAAAAGTAGCCTATGACACCCGCCGGGGCCCGAAGTGTATGTGTGCCAAGTTTGGTCCCGATCGGTTCAGAAATGGAATTTTCTATTCGGAACATACGTACACACATACATACAGACAGACATACAGACAGACATACAGACAGACAGACAAACAGACATTCAGCTTTATATATAAGATGTGAAATCCGAAATAAAGAAATAATGTGTGCTTGTAAAGGTAATGTCCCATAATTCTTTTACCCTCAGCAATGACCGAAGTAATAGCCTTAATAATCTAAAATGCAGTTCACGATCCCTGTGGCAATATTAACGCAAAAGGGTTACCCTGATTGGAACAGAGCTAGCGCCCTTCCCCTAAATCAATGGGTCACATAGTTCTCCATTGAGTTTCGATTCCTGATGACAAATTCTCGTTCTCGTTCTCCCAATCGCTTCCACTTTTCATTGTCAATTATTTGAAGCACTTTTTTGGAATGAAGAAATATTCCGTATAACTTATTTGCCAGGGGCAACTGCGAAATTGCGCTTTGCTTTATTAGAAACATAAAATTAGTTTATTGGAATTCTACAGTTGACTTTGTCAGAAATCCCGCTGACCTTATCGGTTAGATCAGACCATCACCATTTCTTTTTGCAAAACTATGTGAAGTGCTCATGAAAGCCTGTTTTACCTCGTTTTAACCTTCCACCGAATTTCTGTTCTTCTAAAATAGATAAAAAGAAGCATAGAGAAAACGTTGCACTTTCATTCGCGCGATTTGTTTTTTGATTTTCTCGAACTTTCTTCCGCGGGGCGCAAGCGCCAGCGCTTTAGTGAGCCAGGTGAGCTGTTCTAGCAGCTGAGATTCGATGTATCGTTAGGTACCCGCTGTTGAAGCAACCAAGGGGCGTGGCTTAGAGTATACCACTAATGGCTGGGTACCTAACGCCCGCACCTCGGCTGGGTACCTAACGCCACGCACCCGCTAAATAGTACTGAGAGAGAGCAAACAGTATATATCCTCTGGTTCAACGGAATTGGCAGCTGGAGGGTGAGGCTTCTTCGGCTCCGCTCTTTGATGAGCGTGCTCTTCAAACATTTGCGTGGGAAAGGTGGGGCTTCAATCACTAGGGAGCACGATCACGAAAGACATGCAGAGCCAGACGCAGGCCTGGCGGCTGCGTGGACGTATTGACGACCTGGCTCCGTATACGGATCGAAAGTTGCAGTTGCCGCAATCGCCAAATTTTGCCTCTCAAAAAATTTTGCTTTGATAAGTCGTAAAAGAAGGGGATTCAGGTTTGCTCCGAAAACGAACAACAGTTCTTGTAGAGCAAGATTTTCTCTTTTCATTGGTAAAGGTACTTTGCCGTAAACCAACCGCTTCATCGAAAAACGGCGACAAGAATAAAAAGTCGACGAACTTATGAAACGACCTAATATATTGCTCGGGTATGGGAGAAAATGCTGGAAAATGCTCCTCGTTGGGTATTTTTTCCGTTTTACGCTCTTTGCTAAGCATTCAATCCATGAAATCCTCTTTTCAAGCGTTCTCGGCTTCGCTACTCAAGATGGAGACTTCCCCATTCACATTGCTGCCAAATGGGGCCAGGTGGAAGCTGTCAGAGTTCTTCTTGAACATGGTGCCGATCTTTGTCAAAAAGATGCCACAGGTCGTACTGTGGTCCATTGGGCAGCTGCCAACAGTGCCTCAACACTCAAGGTAGTACAAAATCAATTAAGAAGTCCTTATCATTTTTCGGAGTGTTTCAATTTTTCGGAGTGTTTCAGGATCTGTCCACTGAAGCAGCTTTCGCCAAGGCTATGACTGTACTAGATGAAAGCGGACATTCTCCACTTGCCTGTGCTGTTCGAGAAGCTAACTCCGAATCAGTTGCGATACTTATGGGTTCATATCTTTGTTTCTAAATTTGTCGCTTGAATATTATTTTCGGTTTTTCTAAGCTTGTGCAGGATCGAGTGCAACCAAAGTAGCTGGCGCTTCTCCCTTGTTAACAGTGCTCTCTGGGCTGGATTACAGTGAAGCTTTGGCAAAGTGAGTGGGGCGCCGAGAATTGTTAAAAATGAAAAGCACTCGAAATGTCTTTTCAGCTGCATTGAGCTGATCATCACTATAGATCCTTCTGTTGTGGAACAAGTTGATGCAGCCGGTAGATCGGTTCTACATATGCAGCTCAACAAGAGGGTGGGTTATGATTTTCTTCAAAAGGAAGTCTGTCGGCTAAACCGCTTCTCAACTCTTTATTAGCATTTTAAGTCCCCGGTTTTAGTCCCTGGTTTTGATAACCACTTTTCGAGGGTTTCTTCTGCCTGAAAAAAAAAACAATTCTTATTTCTCCCTTGAAATACGTAATACTGTTTGAATGATAATTAAATGACAGAAGTATTTGCAGGTTCTCATGAAAATTTTGAAACATAGCTTCGAGAACATCAACTTGAATATTCAAGATGTAGATGGTCAAACTCCCCTTCACATGGCTGTCAGTAGAGGTGAGGACTATCCCAACTCAAAGAACATTGAAAGAGAAAATTTGAAAGGTGTAATGGGTGTGCAATAGGCAAGGCGTTCTTTTTTTTTGTGAACGTTCCCACAACCAGACTGCAATTTTGAAGAACGCGTTTCTGTTCCAATATTCATATGATCACGAAGAACTACCGGGGTCCCTGCCTTCCAACTTTACTCATCTCATTTTAGGCACTGTTAAGATATCGGTATGCTAATTGACAACCTCGCGAGCATTTGATTTTTCATGATTTTGAAAAACAAAAAAAACTTTAATTCGAGTTGACGGTGAAAAAAGCCACATAGCAATGTCCGGAGAGCAATTATGATAACAAGAACACGTAAACTGGACATAAAGCAAGACATTTGTAATTTCTATAATGATTTATGAATGGTGTAAACTCAATAGGTGCCCAAAAATTCTAATACTTATGAACTCACAGTTTTTCAAGTAAAAAATTTTCAACGATTTTCATTACTTTCCTTATTACGTATTTTATTTTTCAAGAAATCGTCTGTGTGGCACTAATCCTATCCTCATTCCTCCCCTGTTTATCCTTCTTTTTTGACATATTATTTGCATTTCTGCATTTTAGGAGATATTGGATGTGTTGTTGCGCTTCTCTCCTACGGTGCTGATGTGAATGCCAAAGACAAAGACAGTTATAATGCGCTGATGAAGGCTGTACAGGTTGGAAGCAAGACTTGCCACTTTATGATGCTTGCAAACACTTCAATTCAGGCTGGGCATCTGGATCTGGTGAAGTTGCTTCTGCTATTCGATACAGACTTGAAGGTTGTAGATGCTCAAGGACAATCTGTCTTCGATATCAGTAAGACTTCAAAAAGGCGGTATGCATCTGTGAGATAATTGTTTAGTCCATTTTGAGACGGATAGGGGTTAATTATAGTCAAAAATATCGTGTGTTTGATTGGTTAGAGTTTGAACCACAACATTTCTCGAAATATTTTTCTTAGGGCTGATGTTGATCTCCTCCTTGCCGTGATGAGTCCTCCAGCTCCATCGACGTTACCAGCTCCATCAAAAAGTAGCTAAGCCACAGCATAACCTTTTTCAAAGAATAAAGTTTTATTTTCAGCTCCATGGGATTACCAGCAGGATGCTGCCATAAAAACTCAAAAGGAAAGTAAAGAAAGTGGTGGTCAGCGCGTGAACCTGCTATCCCTGGATGGTGGTGGTATCCGCGGCTTAGTGCTAATACAGGTAGGTTTCCCTTGTATTATTCTTTGCTTAATTATTCTATATAATTGATAGTTTTAGATGCTTTCGGAATTGGAGAGTAAATTTGGTTCCGATTTTCTTTCTTCATTTGGCTGGTTAGCTGGTACGAGCACTGGCGCAATCCTTGCATTAGCCCTCAGTCAAGGCAAAACTATGCCATTCTGCCGGTCTATGTATTTTAGAATGAAGGTACGATATTTTCGCTATGTAATAGGAGATTTCTTTGACTTTAAGGATGAAATATTTCGTGGTGATCGTCCTTACAACGCTGATACTTTGGACGCATTTCTTCGATCACAGTTTGGCGAGAACACAACTATGGCTGATGTGACGAATAAAAGGTCATGACTGAGCATTTCATTTTTTTTGTGCACCCATTTCGTCCATCTATTTTTCCATTTCTCCATATCTGTCTCAGGTTTTGAAAATAGTTGTTGGGCAGAAAAAATATTCACACTAATCACGTGAATGGTTTGATCTTATTTTGATTTTTTTTCGTAAAGCTGCTATTTTCAGGGTTATGGTCACGACATGTGTAGCAAATGTCTGTCCTCCACAGCTACATCTTCTGCGCAGTTATCAGTTGGAAGCTTCTGAGGAAGAGAATGCAAAACTAGGCTTTGATCCCCCAAAAAATCATTTCATAAAGGATACTGCTCGAAGCTCAAGGTTAGAATAGTCAACAATGAAGTCGTACATGTTCTGATAAGCGAGCTTCAGCGCTGCACCCACATATTTCCCACCATTCGACAAAAAATACGTTGATGGTGGATTGCTTGCCAATAATCCCTGCCCACAACTGCTTATGGATGTCCAGCTTGTGAATACAAGCTTAAAAATGGCGGTAAGTGACGTAGCTAAGGAGATTCTGAAAACAAAATCGAAATTTGCAATGTTTGGGTGTTTTTAGTTGCTAAGCATTTATAATTCTCGCACTTTCGGTGTTGAAGTTAATTTCAGAACCAAAGTGACCAGTGCTACCGTATCGGTTGCGTGCTTTCGTTAGGGACTGGCAGAGTGCCACAGGCCATGGTCGAATCTCTCGACCTTACCGTACCAAAATCATTTATGGAATTCGCCATTGGTTGGCAAGAAAAATTATCTCTCATCAGCCACCTGAAAAATCTGCTGCTTGAGCAGGTGAAAAAAATTCATTTTTCTAAAAAAGTCCATGAACCCAGTTTTTTCTTCTAGATAGGAAGAGCTGATGGAGCGGCCGTTGATTGCTCAAGAGCCTGGAGTCACTCTATGTCCGTACCGTTCTTCAGATATTCGCCGCAGCTAAGCTCAGCCATCGATTTAGATGAAACTGATGATGTTAAGTTGATTAACATCATGTGGGGAACGAAAGTAAGGTGTTTTCCTATTTTGAGTTACGGTGTAAAGTCAAGTTCTTGCCCAGGTCTACATGAAGGAAGAAAGTTCTTCGGTGGAGCAGTTAATTGACCTGCTGAAATCCTGTACAAGGTAGCCGTATAAGTCCAACGAAAATTTGCGCCTTTGACAAACCTTCAAAGCTATTCGGGGTTGAAAAATTCTTTGTATATCATCAAAAGCGTAGTTTTGTTTCAGTATGTGGTTTAAGTCTGTTTAGATTTACCCGCGTGTATTATTTTCTCCCATAATTTCTGATATTTGTGTTACTAGTCACTCTGCTTCACTTGTCAATATTCTCCTAGTTCTATTTATGTTCATAATGATAAATCTAGGGCATTTAAACTGTGCACCTCTCTTCCACAATCTAAATTTTCTAAGTATGCCTTATGTTCATTTCTCTTTCATTCCATTTTGTGACGGTAATATATGCAGCATAATAAATATTTGCAGCTACATAGTTTCTGATAATCAATTATTAGCCAGTCTGTGGTCTGTGCTTTCGAGGACACTATTTTGAATAGTTGCTGGGTAGAGGTGTGTGATGGTTGATATAGAAGCGGCTTTCACAGAAATATTTTTGACAGATTTAGTGGAGCTGGGTTTGTAAGATTTGCAATATTAGGCATAGATGATATGATTTGTTCACAAGAAAAAAGAAAACTGCGAGGAGATTACATTTAGAGCAAACTTTGGTTGAAGGGAAGCTTACAATTAGGAGGGAAAGAGTTGGAAGAGGAGAACGTGGGGAAAGTAAGAAAATGAGGAAGCAAATAACAGAGACTAAAGATGGTTGAAAGAACCACAGCATCTATTTGAAAATAAGCTGGAAAGAACTTGATATTAACTTGTTCCATAATTTTTTGAATTTCAGTTTCAAATCAAGATAATTTTTTTTCGGACCATCTTTCTGAGCGCAATAAGAACTTTTAAACAACAATCCTTTAGCTATATGTCGTCTACTTCTGTTGGGTCACAGCCACCTTAACAAAGATACAGCCGAAAATTGTTGAAACATTTTTCTGGAACCTATAGCTTGTAAGAGCTCAACATGCTCTAAAATGTATTAGAATGGCGCCAATTTTGCTCATTATATAGTCAGTCGGTTAAGCAAGGGAATGAAGTTTAAATTTAAATCTTTCTGCGAGAAAATATTGCAGAAAAATTGGAAGTATCCGATTTTTATAGAAAAGCAAAAAACTGCCTTTTGTTTTTATGATTTTTCTTTTCTGAAATCGAGGAAATTCTGTCATTCTCCTATCATTAGTAGCACTAGTTCCATTCTAATCGAATATGATGAAAGTTGCGCAATCGCTTCTCATCCAAGAAATTTAAGCAGCGTAGATGGCCCTCAACAATTAGCTAATTTTGAGCCAAAATTTCTCAACCCAGAGTATCTTATAAATCTGATAATGCTGAGCGTTTTGTGGCGCAAAACATTGCAATCGCTATGCATATTTTCTGATTTCAAATTGGACCATTTTCAATGGATTTAGAGCAGGGAAAGCGAAAAGAGAGGACTTCAATTTTTGATCACTTTGAAGGCTCCAGTTTCAATAAGGATTTGCGAAAACGAAAGGATACACCAGAAATCAGAGGAGTCGGGTTTTCAAATACTATAAGAAGTTTCTAAGAAAAAACGGTTTCCGTTCAAAAACCAGATAAAGAGAATATCAAAACGTGCACTAGTCATGAGACAACCTTATATAAGCACCCTTAAAGGCAACGTCCAGGCAGATTTGGATCTGTGGGAATTTTTCGTGGGCACTGCTCAAACGGCAGCGCGAGTAGTGCTCTAACGGCTGAGATATTCCCCTCGAAACTGGACCCCGCGATCGTATTCGCATGGATTCATGGCAGTTTCGCGCCAGGACACACGCTTTGCGTCATGAATCCATGCGGAATACGATCGCGGGGTCCAGTTTCGAAGGGGATATCTCAGCAGTTAGAGCACTACCTGAGCTGCCCGTTGGGCAGTGGCTTAGTTAGTGTCGCGGATTGGGCCCCCAGCTCCCAGCGTCAGTGGTATAGTTGCTCTCCTGCATCGGCGAGGGGAGCCAGGGGTCCGCACCGTGAATAAGTGAACCATACAATGTGTGGTGGCTACCTGTGAGACGCTCGTTGTGCCTGCCACGTGGGTACTCCTTACGCTCTTAGGGGCCCTTGCCACCAGCCTGCTTAGTAGCGACTCGTCACCTGGGATCGACCTGTGCTTCCAGCCACCGACAGCTGGGGCGTGCACTCATAACCGTGGCACTTAGCTAGCATCGTGCCAGCCTTCCTACAGATGTTACCTACTAGGCAAGATTACGAAATACACCTGAAATGACAACCCGATATTCCAGAGCCACAGCCGAGCCGTGGTCACCGCTCCAACACATATCACACCTGTAAAGTGCCCACCATTTATCCGCAATAAAATCCCTACACTCAAACACACAGGATGAGCAACAACCAGCCAGATGTTACCTAGGGGCCGGCAATAACGGAAACCCCCCGAGGCGGTGTCGCCGGCGTGTGCCAGGTGCGATCGCGCTCGGGGTTACCTCGTAGCGTGGGAGCCAGTCCTCTGTGGCGTAGATGGAAGCACGCGAGAGTTGGGGTAGCGCTGGATCGATCGATAGTTGAGACGAAATGGAAACCCGACCGCTCACTGTGACGGCAGCTGCGAAGACTGACTACGTGACTTATTTGAACGCTGCGAAGGTAAGAGAGGTGAGAGGCGGGACAGCGCGAGGACGGCGTTTTGGGACCCTTTGCGAGGCGGAGGGCGGCGACCTTTGAAGGAAGTCGCGAATCCGCGACACTCCGGGCAACAGAAAAGAAAGGGTCCGAGGTAGCTCCCGATCTGCCATGTTACCTACGACCCTACGAGTTAAACATACATACAACCTACGAGTCAAGTATCCCTAGGTGGAACGCGGGACCCTACTACCTGTCGTGGTAACAGCCGGTTGTTCTCGGAGGTAAGCATGAAGAGTCGTCGGGGGCTCTACTCTGGATACTGGCGGGCTTCTTCGGCAGTTGTGGAGACGATGGTTGCGTTGAACGGCAGTTGAGGTGACCATTGACATGACCATTGACTCGACGGTTGCGGCATCGACAGCTTGAACGGACCATGGAACTCGGCTTGACGGGGATGTTCGGCTTGACGTGACAGCGGCTCGACATTGGTGACGTTGAAGTGACGATGAGTGGCAAAAGGTGTTAAATTTGCCTACTGGCGCGGTTTTTCACGCCTGGGGGTGAATTCAAAGCGAGGGGGAGATTTTACCTCGCGGCACAAGACCCCTGGGGCAAGACACGTACGAAAGGGGGCATCCCAAAAACTCCAAAAATAACACGGTCTCCCACCGTGGCCCCCAAAAATCGACAGTTGGGAAATAGGCACTTGAGATACACGTCAGCTGCGGGCTAACCTAAAATAGGGTCAGCAACAAACTGGGCGAGCTTAAGGCCCGCCGAAAACCACCAAATCAAAGAAAAAGGAAAAGAAAATAAAAGGATACGAATAAAATAGCTAAACTAAATTAAACGTACCCAAAAATCGTCAGTTGGGGCTATCGACAAGTGGGAAACACGTCCATTGGGGTCTTCTCCATTCGTCACCCAAAAACTCGGTAGTTGGGGCTATCGCAACAGTGAACTCGCAACTTGGGGGATCCTCATTCTCAATCTAAACAAATAACATTAATAAAGAAACGAAAGTTGAGGGGGCGAGCGCGAAGCTTCACCACAAACTCGCAAGTTGGGGAAACGTAACCTGGGGCTACTACTCATGAGGCGAAGCATCTCTTCTTGGGGGCTGACGATCGTGGGGCGAGGCGTCTCTCCTCTGATCTCTCCTGGCTCTCTGTCGCCTGCGCATGTCAGCTATGGCCTTGTACTGCTCAAGGGTAGTGAGGTATTCGTCATATGGGATATCGCAGGTACAGTGGTGCTGTTTAAAGCAGAATGAGGTGTCGTGGTCCTTAGAACGGCACGACCGGCATCTCCTGCCATAGCGAGGGCAGTCTTCCTCGGCATGGATGCCACAGCACAAGAAACATCCGCCCCTCCTCGCATTCAGATCCATCCTCTCACTCAAAAGAGTGTAGTTGGGGCAACTGGAGGAGTAATGGCGCTGCTTGCAGAAGTAGCAGCGGATGTTCTCGGGCGGTGTATCCGGCCTCCTCTGCTCCCGCTCTCTCTCCTCCATCGGCTCGTCCCTCTGACGCTCACCTAAAATGGGGTTTGGGGCCCCATCCTGGGGGGCGGGCGACACGTGGGGCGGTGTTGCGGCCGATGTGGAGCTCACTTCGTGTTCCCAACGAGACCTTTTGGGGGCTCTAGATGAGCGGGATCGGCGTCGATCAGTCGACGACGATGGCAACTCGGCGATGCCAGCAAGGACTTCTTCCTGGATGTCGTCCTGTTGCCGCTGTCGTGTGCGAGAGCGTGAATGCGGGCGCTTCGATGGGGTGCTCTGACGAGCTGTGGCTATCGCAGACTGTGGGCGCGATTCTTGGGGATGCGCTTCGAACCTGCGCATGATGATAACATGGTATTGGTGACGGATTCTCTCCATCTCCGCAACCATTGTGGCGGACGTGAGGTTGATCTGGGTCAACCCGTCCGGTGTGACTCCGTAGTGGGCTAACAGAGCGAGCCTCTGCTGAAGCTCGTCCGGGTGGAGGCGGAGAAGCTCTGTTAGACGGACGTTGACCGCATGGCGACGATAATTGATGTTGTATGTGAGTGTGTAGATGCGGTCGATCCTCTCTAGGAGTCCCTGGGTGTCTGGCAAGGGCAGTTGGGATGTGGAAGTTATAAACTTTGTGGCTTCCGTAACAGCGTTGTCGAGTGCTTTCAACTCGTACGTGACCAGTAGGGGCATCAGGTGCTCGGTCTTGGCTCCGCTGAAATCCTCCTCGTCTGGCGAAAAGATCTCTTTCGTGAAGAGACTGCGGAAGCGTTGCCCGATCTTGCTGTGGAGGTATCCATCGATGAGCACGTAATCCTGTTGTCCCAGATGGGCTGGGTCAAAGATGTGCCTAAAGTTAAAAGCTGTGGTGAGCTGCTGGAGCAGACTCAGTGCGGGTCGGTAAGACTGGGGGACAGCGTGAGCCTGGGTATCGCTGTCAGCTTCACGTAGCAGTCGACGATTGGGATTATGCCCTTTGGCGATCGCGGGGATGAGTTCGATCATCGTCGGCTTGCGAGTGTTGGGGTCTTCTCCCGGCGGACTCAGATGACGTCCACCTGGGGTGCGACCTCTGGGGCGGGCGTTGGTTCCGGAGCTTTCGCGGACGAAAGCTCACGGATGACCGCGGCCACAAGTGCGGCGCCGCTAGGATCGTCGGCGGTCTTCGTATCGCGATCCTTGGGGGGAGTAGGCTGTCTCCTGGGCGGCGTCCGCTCTCTCTCCGAGGAGCTCGTCCTCGAATATGAT